AATTCGTTGTTTATAAAAATTTAATAAGACAAATATGTCAAGCTTTTGAAGATATATATGATTCTAAATAATTTTATAATTTATTTATAATTTTTTTATAACAATTTATTTAGAATTATATATATCTTCAAAAGCTTGACATTTAAAATTTGTCATTTTGTCCATAATTGGGTCATATCTATTAACAGATATATGTATTATACACATTATGTGTGACAATAAAATTCAGTAAATATTATTTACCGAAAATAAATACCAAAATAAGAGAAAAAGAAAATAAACACTAATTATACAAATAACCTTTATTATTTTTCAAAATAATCTTAATTTTGGATATTAAATCTTGATATCACATAATAATAACAAGATTTAAGGCGATATCCAAAGATGATTTTTCAGAGAGTTTTCACAAGCTGTACAAACATTGTCAGAAGTGTATCGTCTCTAGGAGGAGAGTGCTCTAAAGGGAGATTGCTTTAAAGGAAATAAAGGTCATTTGTATATTAATTAAATGTTTTCTCATAACATTTACCGAACTTTATTGCCACATCATCACGTATTATTGTAAATGTCGCGAATTTAATTCATCGCGACGTGTTACTTGTTTGCGATCCTGCGTGAGTTTAATCGTCGAAATATCATTTAGCAAATTGAGTCGCTTGTAATTCGCTAATTGTATGATTACTTTTTCCACACATTAGTTATCCCTAAAAAAATTTTTAAAAAGAAAAAATATACTCCAAGTGCATAAATCGAATATTACATTCCTTTTAATAAAAAAACGAAATAAATGCAATTAGCCAAGTATTTCATAACTATTACAAGTATTTCATAATTTATTAATCTGTCTTGTGTGTCTTGCGTTATGAAATATTTGGCTAATTATATTTATTTCGTATCCGTTTTTTATTAAAAGGAATATAATATTCTATAGCTTTTTTATATACTTGGCGTATATTTTTTTTAAAGAGGTATCTTTTAGTGATTTCACTGCTTTTTGTTTTTAAATATTTTGCTTTTTAAATATTTGAAAACATAACGTCCGACGTCATTGTCGTCACCCGACATCACCTTATAAGAAAATTATCAATATCACTTAATTATTGACTTAGCCATACAGATTAAACATGTGGATACATCGTGCGAATTACTGGTCTGAGAGTACCGTGAAAAAAGCGCATTTTTAATATCTCCGTATGTAATAAAAACAAAATTTTGTAACAATTTTCACAATTCAACATCATATGTGTTTATTTTCACGCTCAGACCAACAGTTCGCATGTTCTTCAAGCATCCAATCTATATCGTTAAATCGATAATTAGGTGTTGTGACATGACGTTTACATTGTCCATCACAAGTTCGTTTGATCTGACCAAAAATAGCGCGACATTTTCGTCCTCCTGTGTCCTCTCATCATGAAAGACGGGGGTGTCAGCGCTTATCATAGTTTTTGGATGATATTCGCTATGCGTTTCGCCAGGTATTATTTTCTTGAGCGTTCCTTTACAATTTTAAGCCTATTCTACAATGTGCTCTTTGTTTCCTGTTTCTTATTTTTTACCTTTTACTTTTTTCTCCTTTGCAACCATTTTATAAATAATTGTATTTTTTGCTACATATTTCTTGTTTCTTTTGAAGTCCGTTAACTTTTATTTGGAGCGATATAAAACAAAAAACCGGATAAGAAGCAAAAAGACAAGACGTAATAATAAAAAGCAAGAAACAGGAAACAAAAAGCACATT